TCCACAATGACACTTTAGATAATTTTTTTTATATTAATTGCTTTAATTAGGATATGCAAGTTAATTGTTAGAACTGAACTTAAAGGAAATTTGGAGACTATTTGTCTTCATGTATAAAAAGTAAGCACAAATAATTTTTGTAATATGCGATTATCAAAGGCTTTAATGAGAAAACATTTTATTTTTCAAGTTTGGACAACATCTTTGAAAAAAACGTCAACTCGGCGAATTCTGCTTGGTAAGAAAAAAAACCTCATTCTCTTTATAAATATAATTTTCTTGAGATATTAATAAATTATAGTGGTGTTTAGTCACTAAGAACAGGTAATCAGTGACAGCACTGGTGTCGTGTGAATAAATGTATGCATGTATACAACTTCATTCCAAAAGAAACTTAAAATGTTTCCAGCATACACCCCCCCAAAAAAAAAAACAAACAGAGAAAGCTTATGGTTGGTTTGTGGATTTAAATTAAACTTAAAAAATTACTTGGCATTATCAGTGCGAGGAATTGGGAGCAACGTTCCTTTCCCAAAAACTCAGAGGCAGCCGACCCGGACTGGTCTAGGAGGGAATCGAACCCGCGACCATTGGAACACTAATCCAAACATTAGAAGCATTCTAACTTCTTGTACACTTTTAAAAATCTTTGAAACCATTGTACAAAACAAGTATTATACTCTGACGTTTCCAGAATAATAATTTATTTAAAAAAATATTGAAGCGATATTGTTCTGGTGTGAACTTTTCGATTGATGCTATAGAAGTAACTCGGTCACCAGCACGGGAATATTTAATGAAGCGCATAGCTTTGAATCTCAAAGAACTTCTAGAACATTGTAATACCAAATACCTCGAAAGTGTCCGCATAATGAGGTTTGCGTTAAAGATTCCTGTTATTACAGATTTTATTCCAAGAAAAATTCGTGTCTATTTTCATATTGCTAATGTTATGACGCTTATAAAGTATTACTCTTAATTACTCGTGTGTATAGTTTGCTGCTCTGATGGTAGTATAATTTGTATATGTACGTTTCTGATAAATACTAATATCTAATTAGTTTTATTCGTTTATATTTGTGAATATACCTTTGGATCTCATTTGTTTTGAAAGACCATTTCCATTACGCTTTTTTAACTGCACATGTATTAATACAAATTAATTACAGATAATGGTTGAAACTGTTAATGAAAACGACATTTGGGCACGAAACATTTCAGATTGTTCATTAAACATTTTGCTTACATTAAATGAAGTTTTAAAAGATATCAGACAAAATATTGTCAAACCTAGAACTATAAATGTATATTGATTTCCTTTTATTAATGTGTCGCACATGTATTATTAGATAAGATGCGACATATTTTCCTACAGTGACTTAGGTTTGTAAAATTTTCACAGGAATATATAATCATAATTTTTGCAACACACATATGGGCAAGATTGTAAGTCACTCTAAGCAAAGCACACACTTATATAATTATGTACAAGTGCAAACCGGTTAGAGTTCCGAATGTTTCAACTTAGATACATTGAAGCTTACTTGGTTCCTTACCTGTGCCACTGCAAGATATGCTCAAAGGTAAATGTTGTTTTCTTAAATTATGAGTAGTTCTCATATATTACTCTTAAGTTGCTAACCATTTTGTTTGCATGTGCCACATAACTGCCTTCTGTTGCCAACCATTTTGTGTGCTTGTGATATATAACTACCTTTGTATTTGTTATGTGTACATAGCAAGCAAATTTCAAAATTTCACGTCAGAATCTGACTAGCAAATTTTCCCATTATATTGAGAATGTTATATTTTTGTCATTATTTTATGAACATTATTGAATAAAGGTGTTCACTTGTACCTTTTGCTTGTTTAATTGTTTTCCCATCTCATGTATTGTGCTGCAATGAAGCCTTAAGCAATAAAACATAGAATCAAATATTTATTCCAGCTGCATTCTCTGACAAACAAGGACAATGTATGATTTTGTCGCTCTTCCAATGAAGAACAATGAAATGTTGAGCGCCATCTACATACATTTGCATATACAAAACTTTAGACAACTCATGAAATCATCATATCATGAACTCTTGGAACAATGTGAAATTATTTATGTAAAAGACATCGGTGTGCAGCCAATAAAGTAAGAATTAGTTTAGCTAATAAAAAAGTTTTCTTTATAATACATTAAAAAATTAATGTTACTAAACACCCAGTAATAAAAATTGACGAAATAATTACTTTGCAGACAAATCACTTTATTTTTTATTTATTAAAGCAGAGTAAACATTCTGAATTTATCAATTCCACCATTTCAATATATATATATATATATATATATATATATATATATATATATATATATATATATATATATTAGACAAATTTTTCAGAAATATAATTTTTATCAATAACTTTATTTAAATATGCAATTATATTCTTACTCCAAGACAGTTATGCTATTAGTTTACACATTTCTATTAAAACACAGTAGATCTTTCATACGGCTGCTGCTTTAGGGTTTAACGACATTTCTCAGCACAAGATAGGCCAGTAAAAATGGTGAACGAAGAACCCGGGAAAAAATCCGAATAGTACCACCGACCCACAAGAAGCTGATGGTAAGTTTTCTCACATACCCACATTGGCCGAGCCCAAGACTCGAACCCACGCAGACAGTGGTGAAATGGCAGTGATCCGTAACGGTGAATGTTTTAAATCACTCGACCGCTCGGGACTCCGATTTTTCAGAGGGAACATCTGCATATGTTAAGAAATGGAATCGTCCGAAATAAGGATTTACTGATTATCTGCATATTTAAAATCAATAAAAAAAAATAATGCATTGTTTAAGCACATGAACGCATGTACAAACAAATATAGTTTTGCAAATGCTCCGGGGCAAATATAGGCTATTATTAACAATTAAAAGTTTTAACACCAATTAAATCCGTAGTTTTATGCAATCCAAATGGATCGAAAATTTTATATACTGTTTTAGCTAGAGACTCGATCATGTCTGGAAAAATGTTGATCATCTAATATTTGTTGAGCTTTTGTTGTTAAACAATATTCAGTCGATAGTGAGGTCTTTCAAATAAATACTTCCAAAAAAAACCATGCCATGATATATGATTCAGTTTCGTGCGCATTACGAATTGCACCTGCTATCGTCATACATTATTCAGCGGCGTACAATAGCTAGGGCATGTATTCAATAAAAACAAACTTTATTTACGCCTAGCACGCAACAGTAAAGGCATTAAAATTGCCATTGTCGACACACGTTACCGCTTTGAGAATATTACAATTCTTCGTTGCAACTTTCATTGGAAATTCGAGAAAGGCATCGTTTGTGAATAACATGAATATTATAAAAAGTAACTATAGAAACTAAGTACTGTGACTGAGACTGCAAAAGAATGCAACTCGTTTCCTGAACAGTGCAGAGTTTCTTGGTCAGACAGACATGGAGACAGATCTGAATCCTACAATATATATATATATATATATATATATATATATATATATATATATATATATATATATATATATATATATATATATATATATATATATATATATATATATATATATATGTGCAATTATTACCACAGAGTTACAAAAATACTGAGATCCAGTAATCCAAGATCATTATCAACAATATCGAAAATATTCTCAAAGCCATCCTTATTTACAGGCTACAGTGAATAGGTACAAAATACAGATAAAGTAGGAGACAATGCAAAATGCAAGACAATGGTCATCTTTATTATAGTACTCATACTTAATCACTTGTGGTACTCATACCTAATCTCTTCTTTTTAGTACTCATACCTAATCACTTCTTTGTAGTACTCAGCCTAATAATTTATTTATTGTACTCACCTAATCCCTTTTTGATAGTTCTCATAACTAATCGCATCATTTTAGTACTATCCTAATCACTTCTTCTTATTTATCTGACCTAATAGCTTCATTACAATAGTCAGATTTAATAATTTTTTTCTGCTCACATCACAATTTATAACACTAAATATTTTGACTATTTTGCTTTTTAATTCCCACTTTCCACTATCTAAAAAATGGAATATTACCTTCACCTGTGAGATTCTAGTATCAATACTTTTAAAAACCTGTTCGGAAACAGTTTCAATCAGTAGCTTTTGATTACAGCAGAAGTTGTAAAAATGTGCTTGATGTGGTCATATGGTAATTTATAGATATGTAAACATATTTCTGCGATAATCATTCTTTCGAGGTTCTAGTCATGACTATATCACCAAAAATAGTTTAAATTGCCAATGGCATATTTACCTAATGAGTAAATTATCGACATCTTCGAGGAAAATAACGAATAAAAACCAGCACAAAACAACAGTAATCTCAGATCTAAAAAAATAATGTATCACATAAATAGCGTGTTACCTAGGTTCACATCCATCTGTTATCTTTGCGATATTCATCACGAAATGTACCAAAATAACCACACATATGACGTCATTAGTGCAACGAAGTCTATAAGGTTTAATGTTGGAGTTACACGAATGTTCGTCAGTCAGCCATTATAATAAGGTTTAATTGAATAAATAAGCATCTAACGTGACATCGTAAATGGCATCTTGCTTCGGTGATCATTTCAAACGAAACTTATGATGTTTGCATGAAAATATTTTCCTTTACAATTATTCGTAAAATTCTCGTCATATAATCATCATTGGTGTGATATCTTTTTTGCATTCTATTTTCGTAACACATTCCAAGTCTTGTGTATGTATGTGTGTCTGTCTCTAGTGACAGTTTATATATATATATATATATATATATATATATATATATATATATATATATATATATATATATATATATATATATATCACTGGGGCATCATGCCGCAGATAAAAAGCATCATGTCCCACGCAATCCCATTATCCTGACACTAACCTCCTAATGCTGAGCGCCAAGCGAGGCAGATGCTAGTACCTCTTTGTAAGTCTTTAGTATGGTTCGGTCTGGTTTGAACCAGCGACCTCCCGCATTTGAGGCGGACGCTCTAACCACTAGGCATTAGGATCGGTCATCAATCTTATGCATATCAATATATTGCTGTAGAGAAAGACTTGAGGCGAAATTAAATTGAAGCCTTTGCATAGTTATATTCTGTGGAATCTACCAAAGTACATGGAAGTGCAAATTTCGTTGCAACTGGATCTTCTTTCTGTTACCATGATGTACAGTACTGAATAATATCTATAAGCACTATGTTGATATGAAAAAAATCTATCCTAAATGGTTCCATAATGCATGGTTAAAACTACCAAGGAACACTTTTTTTGTTTGACAAGATATGCATCATTCCACAAAAATAACTATTCTAATTGTAACAAATGCAAGTTAATATTGTCAAGTAGACATTATCGAAGTGACATGGTAATTACCATAATATTCATGAATGTTCTACCCTCCATCACCCCATTAAATGAATTCATTCTGTCTCGTGTATAACATACCTCCTTATACGTTTGCATGGAATATAATGTAGTCATTTTTCGATCAGGACCAAATCTTTCTTACAGAGTTAAGTACCGTCACTGTCACGAACAATTCTCATATAGTGCTGCATTGTGTGTGTGTGTGTGTGTGTGTGTGTGTTGAATTTTTTAATGTAGCTTTAACAATGTTTCAGTCATATCGCTACGATATCTGCAGTGTGGCAATTTATAGTAAAGTTTAGGGCCATCATGCTGCTGACTTGTAGCATCATGTTCCACCAAGTCACATTATCGTGACATTAGGCCGACCATTCCAAACACTAAACTCGTAATGCTAAATGCCAAGCGAGGCGGCTGTTAGCGCCATTTTTATAAGTGATTGGTATGACTTGGATGGGGTTCGATCCCGCGACCTCCCGCATTCGAGTCGCACGCTATGTGGTTTACTATTGAAATGATAACTTTAAAAATTCTGAAAGTGATATATCATTTGGAACATCTGTTGCTAATGATAACTACCTTTAACATGAATTTTGCGATGCCTCATCTGACAAAATCACTACAATAAGAATTTTGTCGGTGTGCCAGAGCAAATAAATCATCTCAGGAAACATCCTGATTTTAATTATAACAGTACGTATAAAGCGTGCTAAAAACCATTTTGGTTATGAACTAATGGAAATGCTTAACCTACTCAAGTAAAACAAGTGTTGTTGCTGAATGGCTCAACGCCATTTTTCAGCAAACGATAGGCTATTAATGGAGACCAGTATTAATGGTGGAGGAAGATACCAGGATATCACCGGAAAGAACCAATGACCTAATAGAAGCTACTGGTAAGCTTTCTCACATATCCACATTCGCCGAATCCTGCAGAGGTGAGATGGCGGTGATCCGTAACAGACAGTGCTTTAGACCACTCGGGGCTCCCAAAATGTAAATGAAGGTCGCTGCAACATTGTTTTACAGTAACGGTGTGGTAGTAACAGAGATGCATGCAATTATCTAGTTGGATGATTTTAGCACGAAAAATGCGTGGAAAAAAATTAAAACTTAGTCAGTCAGTGAAGCATAAAATGAAGATCATAGGGACATACTTTTATGAAGAGGGTGTACTACCAAAGAAGCATCTTTTCACCCGGTTCAACGAAAAAGGTATTTTAATGAAACTAGGTAAAACAGTACCTACACAGGGTGCAAAAGACATTCTCTCATGTGATAAATGCAAAAGCGTAACCTATACCAGTACAAAATGTTATGTACATCGAATGATATTCTTTAGTGGTGAAGATGTGGTACTAATAATGATGCATATCATTATCTGGTTTGAAGAAGAGATTGAGAAAAAACTTAAAACATAAAATGTAACCCAATTCAGTGAAGTGTGTAATATAGGCCTCAGAGACTCGTTTTTCTCAAGGCTGTAGTACTCGCATTGATTCATGCAAAAATTTAACTTAAGCCTGTGAAATGTACATCACAGTAACCTTCCTTGGTTGTATGTGTGTTGCACAGATAAGAGATGAATATAATCAAACACTTTTGTGATTCTGTCATAAACAGAGTGTGGGAAATAAACCACAAAATTTAAGTAAGCCAGTCAAGTGTGAAATATATGTCAGTGTCCTACATTTGTGATGTGAGTGCATCATATAATTAAGATGGATAATCTCACCAAGTTTCCTGATTTCAAATATAACAGGATTTGTACTGAGTAAAAACAAGCTTGAGCTAAACACAAACATTTCCTCTATTGTATAACTAATGTATATACAAAATAGGTCATTGCAGCCCTTCCACTAGGTAAAAGTGCTATGAAACCCACTCCCATATGTTGCCTGTGACCTAGAAAAAAGAATGATTGACATTTAATGAGGATGTATTCTACACAGAACATGATGTCTAGAATATTTCAATAGCCTACTACTTTGTTGATAAATGCTAATAAAATTGAACAAGCTCAAAGTGTACTGAAAGTAAAACTCTGATATATGCTTCACTTACCTGCACTTCTGTTTATAAAGAATGGCTTTGCAGTTACATTAGTTAATTATTATTTTCATTAAAGTTTGAAAACTTGACATCTTATGCAATATTCTGAAACCAACACCTTCACAGACAGAGAAAACATATTCCACCATGGAAAATTTTAGCAGTTCAGATAAAATTACAATGGCACAAATATTTGGCGCAAATGAGCTGGATAAAAAATTGTGAATGCTACAGAAGGAATAAAATTTTGTATGCCTAATTTGATCTGAACTTAGCATTTCCATAACATTTCTTGAATGAAAATAAAATCTTTCTGATGGAAATATTTTATTGAAAGTCTTAATTTAACAACACATGCATGTAAAAGTAGCAAAGGCTCATTACCAAATATATAAAAACAATTTTAAGGCACATTACGCAAATATATAAAAACAATCTTAAGGCACATTACCAAATACATAAAAACAATCTTGAAAACATCTAACCATGAGCAATATTAGAAGGGCTATTTTCTCATCTTGAATTCATTACATATTGACCTAAAATTGTGTAACTAGTGAAACATCTTAAAAATGCACCTAAAGTTGTAACTAGTGAAACATCTTAAAAATAAACCTAAAGTTGTAACTAGTAAAACATCTTAAAAATGAACCTAAAGTTGTAACTAGTGAAACATCTTGAAAATGAACCTAAAGTTTTAACTAGTGAAACATCTTAAAAATGAGCCTAAAGTTGTAGCTAGTGAAACATCTTAAAAATGAACCTAAAGTTGTAGCTAGTGAAACATCTTAAAAATGAACCTAAAGTTGTAACTAGTGAACCATCTTAAAAATGAACCTAAAGTTCAAGATAAAAGAAAAATAAGAATTTACCGAGCAATAATAACATTACCCGTTTTCTAGCTTTATCAGTTTCCCATGGTTTTATGTTTGCATCCACATTACCCTTGTGCGAAGAAAGCTACATATATTTGATAAAATATTAAAAGCAGGGTTTAGCAACCTACTTAGCCATTATTTGGTTTTACTTGCACAGTATATCATTACTAGTGTCAGGAAAAGAAGACTTTTCTAGGTCCTGTATTCCTAAACAAACTGAATGTGAAATACAAAGCCAAAGTCTGGAAATTCTAACGGTCTGTAACTTTAATTACAATCAAGGTAATAATAATAATAATAATAATAGTAATAATAATAATAATAATAATAATAGCAATAATAATAGTAATAGTAGTAGTAATAATAATAGCAATAATAATAGTAATAGTAGTAGTAATAATAATAGCAATAATAATAGTAATAGTAGTAGTAATAATAATAGCAATAATAATAGTAATAGTAGTAGTAATAATAATAGTAGTAGTAGAAGTAGTAGTAATAATAATAATAATAATAATAATAATAATAATAATAATAATAATAATAATAATAATAATAATAATAATAGTAATAGTAGTAGTAATAATAATAATAATAATAATAATAATAATAGTAGTAGTAATAATAATAATAATAATAATAATAATAATAATAGTAGTAGTAGAAGTAGTAGTAATAATAATAATAATAATAATAATAATAATAATAATAATAATAATAATAATAATAATAATATTACTTTAACAATGTTGCATTGTGATACTTTAATTACAAAGTGCTATTACTGAAAAATATCTGTTAAGAACATGCCTTTTGCAGTAGGAACATGAAAGGTAGGGCTGTTCCATTTAAACATACATGGTATCCAGAGAAGAGTTTTTAAAAAAATATATGTGCCATGGTACTTTGATCTCACAAAATTTATATTAAAATGATAAGACAATTTTAACTGCTTCCATGGGTGAGTACACTGCATTAAAAGTGCCTTCCCTGGGTCCAAAGTATGTTTTACTGGAACAGTCCTAAATGCATTTAGAATGAAAACTGTCAAATTGTTAGCTCAGTTGAGAAGGTTGCATAATCTCATTAACATCTAAGGAAATATACAACAATCAAATCATTCAATACTGATCCTATTCTTCATACTGTAAGTACAGCATAATAATTGGTAGCAAAGTCCCACAACCTCCTTTCTAATCAGATTCATGCAATTCCGTTTGACCAATAAAGGTGCCAATAAAATGGGTACAATTATAAACGAGGCATTTTATTGTGGAATTAGAATAAATTATGAAGATCCAAAACAAGAGACCTTTAGAAGACTGACCTTCTAATGGCAAAAAAAGCTCCTGGAATAAATCCATTTCTTCTGTCCAGTCATCATTTCAAAATGCTGACTGCCATTTCAGACATTAGCAAGAAATTCCAACATACTGCAATTTGGAAACAATTTTTTTTTCTTCTAATATGTATCAGTTAACATGCTCACAGAATACCTTTAACCACAATACAAAACTATTTGTCATGGATTTTATCCTCCATGAAACTGGTACCACTGACAGGTCACTGAACCTGATATCACTGAACCTGATATCACTGATAGATTGCTGAACCCGATATCACTGATAGATCACTGAACCTGATATCACTAATAGATCACTGAACCTGATATCACCAAACTTGGGCACTATCAAGATAAATAAACATCCTAAGTCTG